TGCCGGAGGCGAGGGAATCCAAGGCCGCTTTTATTTCTAATAATAATAATAATAATAATAATAATAATAATAATAATAATAATAATAATAATAATAATAATAATAATAATAATAATAATAATAATAATAATAATAATAATAATAATAATAATAATAATAATAATAATAATAATAATAATAATAATAATAATAATAATAATAATAATAATAATAATAATAATAATAATAATAATAATAATAATAATAATAATAATAATAATAATAATAATAATAATAATAATAATAATAATAATAATAATAATAATAATAATAATAATAATAATAATAATAATAATAATAATAATAATAATAATAATAATAATAAAAACTGGTGAGCAAGATGATTTGAGGGTTTGACAAGATGTGAGCTGAAATATATGTAAAACAGTGGAACAAGCAAGCAAATAAACACATAAAGAAATTTATATGTATACACACAGAGACTAGGGCCATGGTCCCTGCCATTTGTTGTTGTTGTTGTTGTTGTTGTTGTTGTTGTTAACCAATGGCCTGCTTCTCTCTGCAGAGGTAATTCAGCTGACTTTATAATATACAGTGTGCACATTAAACTGGAGTGGTGAGGGAGACCCTCGATTGATAGGGTGTGTTCAGATATTTCTTCCTTATCTTAGGCATTTTTCCTTAATTGTATTTGAGTGCACAAGGATGCCCATAATTTTAGTGACAAGAATTCTCAAAAGAGTTCTCTAAATTTGTTATCTTCACTGGATTTGGGTCACAGGAATCTGTTCTTCTCTTAATAGTAGCAGAAGCCAGTTTTGTACAAGAGATAGGGCACTTTTATGCCAGTTATTAAGTAACTTTCTCATTGTTCTAAGCAATACTCAAAGTATTTTTTAAGGCAATGAAAACCTATTTTTAAAGAGCAAGCAAATATTTTAACAAGTTATCTTCTGAATGATTTGACATCTATTGGTGGAATCTCTTTGGTTACACCATCACCAGAAGAAATTTGGTTTTCTGGACCTGTTTATTAGGGTCTTAGTGGTGACACCCCAGTCCCTTGGGGATTAACCTAAGTGCCAACATGGTCAGGTTTTAGCACCAGGTGAGAACAACTATTTTTTTGCCAGATCTTTGACCAACAGTTAGGTTTCTATGACAGAGAAAGATAGCTGAAGTGCAGTCTGTATTGGATTTGACATTGGCCAATGGTTGTCCATTTTTACTGGCATTTTAATAATGAAATGTTTATGGTGAATATCTTAGATTTCTTTACAGTGAAGGCTGTGATATTTCAAATTCCAGAAATAAGGAAAGATGAATAACTAGGAAGGCAAAATCAGCTAAAAAAAGGGGTGCCACCAGCATGAGTACACACACACACACAGAGACACACACACAGACACAGACAGACAGACAGACAGACAGACAGACACACACACACACACACACACACACATTTAGGAATGAAGCTGACAGAATCAGTGTTGTCTCCTTTGGCTTTGATGTACTTAAAAAACCCATCTATTACTTCCTGCTGCTCTGCCAGTTCCTTATTTAAATTAGTACTTTTAAAATCTGTATCATAAATCAGAAGCAAATTGAGCTTTCTAGAATGAATACTTGGCTGTAGCATTCCCTTTGGAATGCCAGTTAATTTCTCATTAAACAGAGACCGAAATCAAAGGGTTTATTTCAGCTGGACCCTGCTGTTTCCATGAGAATCAATAGCATTCTCTACTTCCTGCAGCAGCCCCCTGTATACCCTAAAAAACTGCTAGGAAGGGATAGGAAAGCCTCTCAAGTAAGTTTACTGGCAGCGTGTCAGGCTGAAACGGAATGAAGAGAGGAAAAAAAAACTTAATTCCACTGGCCTTGGACACCAAGTATACTTTTGGATCTTGGCCAACATGTTTTAGATTAGATGTGCAACACGTATATTCTGGCTAAAGATAAAATGTAAACTGAGTTGAAGTTTTGAACATTGAGTCTACAGGAATACATAAGTAGTAAAAACAATAGACCCCTTAGTCTCTGAGTTGTTCTTGACCCCTCACATGTTCTTACATCTTCAGTGTCTGTTAATGATCACCTCCAGAATGTATTACCAATACCAGCACTAAGCTGGATGGTTGACAGTGTCTCTGATCATGTGCAGAGCACCTCCACAACCATTGTGAAATCACAAAGTAAGGAACATAGCTTCTAGAGCAAATGGCAGCGCCCCCAAAAGGTCTGAGCTTCAGTTCCTTTCTTTAGAAACTGAGCACTGCCAACTCCTCTCAGTTTATATGAACTGGTAGAACTGTAGTTCAAGGTGGCAGAGTACTTGGCTGCAGTGCACTCTGTTATTCTGACAGATTTCAGAGTCAGCTATTAAACACTTTTCTTTCTTTTTATTTGCTTTTTCAGCAATACGGCTCCTTCCAGACAGACAAACTGGAATGTGGCCATGTTGGAAGCTGGAGATCCAACTCGACAGCAAATTCTACCACCATCCAAGAACAAGCCTTCCATTCAGAAAACAGCGAACTTTTATATACCCCGTCATACAGCTTACCTTTCCCTTACCATTATGGACACTTTCCTGTAGACCCTCATGTATTCAGTAGCAAAAAACAAATGCTGCCTTCTAAACTTGGGCAGTCTCAAGGAACACCTTGCGAAGTAGCTCGATTTTTCTTAAGTACACTGCAGACAAATGGAGAGTGCCAGTGGCACTATGCCAATTCTCTTGTACCAGGCAGCCAATCACCATCTAAAAGTCCTTCTGATCAGCCAGCCAGCAGTGTACGCCATAATCTCTTACAAGGCTATGAAGGTGTGTATTACATACACAAATATGAAGCTGTATAGTACTCAGGAGAAACATTTGAATTTTAAGTCTTTTTGTAATGCTGTAATTGAGTTAATTTTCCAAACTGGGGGAAGGTGTGCTGATAATCAGATGTGACCAGTGCTTAAGGAATTCAGTTTCCTAATTATGGTCTGTCTGTAATGGATAGTATGGCCCAGTACTTCAGTCTCTGTGCGCTTTATCAGGGTAGATAGTTGAACTACAGGATCCTATGAATATTAATACACTATCAGAATCTTACAAAGAACAAAGGCATGAACACTGTGCACAAATTTAGATCACAATAATAACGTATTTGGGATATCTGTTTTGAATTTCTGCCACAAATTGAAAAACACAAGACCAATCAAATGCAAGGATTTTTCTTATTTTGGCCAAAATCCTGTAGCATAAATTATGCCCATGAAGAACAATGGTGTCATCACCAGGGGGGACTGCAGGGAAGAAAATGGTTTCTCATTCAATTTGGGGCTTGCACAATGCACCTGCAACTGGCCCACAATCAGTCTCATTGCAGTCAAGTGAGGCAAGTCCCAAGATGCATGGAGGACCTGTTTAATTACCAGCAATCTCCCCCTGCTGGTGACATCTCTGTTAGGTTTTGGATTCTGGCCAAAACAAGAAAAGCCCTTGCATTTCATGAGTCTTGTCTCAGTTTATTGATGGCATGTACACAGAGCCATTTTATATTTTGTAAGAATCCCAACAGATTTAAAAATCAAACTGCCTGACAAACAGTTGACTAATTAAATTTTTTCAGGAATTTTTAGACATTACAGTGGACCCTCGACTTACAGACGGCTCGACTTACAGACTTTTCGAGTTACAGACTTCTCTGGCTGCAATATTTAGGTTCGACTTGCAGCCAGAGAATCGACCTACAGACCAGAAAAAAACAAAAATGGAACAAAAATGGAACAAAAATAGCCAGTTACGGGATTAATCGGTTTTCAATGATTGTAGGTCAATGGAGACTCGACCTACAGACTTTTCGACCTGCAGCCACCGTTCCAATACGGATTAATTCCGTAAGTAGAGGGTCCACTGTACTTTAAAATTAATTTGGTGTGAAGCAGGAGTGGAGGATTTCCCTTCGCTTTCCACTTAATTGCATTTGGAACGTGGCAATTCACAAATCTGTATGGCGGTTGAACACCATCAGATACCACTCATAAAAAGCATGAAAAAAGTATGCACCCTATGAAGCCTTTAGTGATTTGTATGCAGATGTAAGTGAATCTATTTTAATGCATTTTTATTTGCTTGCAGACGTAAGTGACAGCTTCTATTTTTTACTTATTGAGTATTTATTTCTTCTCCTTAAGTGCCACTGCCAGCTAGAAGATACAGCCAGGAAGAAGGAACCTCGGACAGCTTTGCAAGCTGTGCCACTCTGACACCAAATAGACATAAAGAAGAGATCTATGATTCCAGCATTATAAAACATAACAAAATGGAAAGCAGAATATATCCCGCACACCATCATTTCATTAAAGAAGAAAATAAACTAATTTTCAACAGAGATATACAAGAAAAAATTAACATTGGTGAAAAGCCTTTTTCAAATTCCTTTTTGTCAAAATCAGAAGGTTTCCAAACTAAATCTATTGGACAATTAAGTCACCTTCTCCCTGTTTCAACTGTGTATGAACAGACAAGAAGAATCTGTATGAAAGAGCCTAAGTATGAACACATTGCCCTTCATTCTACAAATCTAGGTGAGCTGGAAATAGATGACAGAATGACAGTCAAACTTGACCATAACTCTGAAAGTGATCACACAGTAGATATGAGGCATCCTGGGCAAGTTCCATTTGTGCTTCTGAACTATCACCGGGTTTTAGCCAAACATGGCACATTTCAAACCTCTTCATGTGCTGCCACAGGACATGTAGCAGAAAATTATGGGTATGGTTCTGAAGAAGTAAACATGTTTTACAAAAACCAAAGTTCCTCATCAGCCTCTTCCCCTGAGACTCACAAGGAGCCAGCACTTCCCCATTATATTGGAACTTCTGTAATAATCACCAATGGAAGGTGACAGTAACAGAAATCTGTGTTTTAACTAAAGAAATAAAGCAAACAAATGGTTTCCAAAAAGCATGAGTACATGGTTGCACATGGCGCACATGGTTTAAGGTCAGGTTAGACACATAAGTGCATGCATTCTTGGTAAACCATGTGAACCTAATATTATGGTCTGGAAGACATGCATTTAACTTGAGTGCTTCATTGCTACCAATTAATGTCTGCAGCTGAGTCTGCCAGTAAGAAGCCATGCAATCGATCGTATTTGTGTTATTTTTCTAGTGTACAACTTAAATTATAGGAATTCATATACTGATAAAAAGATTGGCTTTTTTCCTTAAACAATATATTTCCATAATTCTAATATCTGGATATAATGAGTATTTGAATACAGTATTTGATCATAAGAAAAATGAATAGTCTGGCAAGAGACAGTAATTCTCACAACTATTTGGGTACTCTGTTAAAATGACTTGAAGTGTATTACCATATGAACATGAGCTTTGTTTTTAAATCCTTGAAACCAAACTATTAATAGTAATTCCTCCTCCTGAAATGTATTACCAAGGCAGTCAGCGATTGGCAACAGCATCACTACTATGCATCTTCAAACAATTAAAATTGATTAGCCCAGTAAACTTGGAAGTATCTGCTAAAGAGCTGGTGGCTTCTCACAATGACAAGACTCCTTTAAATACATTTATTCAAAATTAATAGAAAAGGGATTTCCCCCTTTCAAGTACATCACCAAGACAAAAGACTGTATCCAAACCTCTTAGACAGTCAAGAAAGTACAGTATGGGAGATGTGTTCTCAGTTTGTTCTGCTGGTAAGATCTGAATGAATCTTTTTTCAATTTCAGTTGTTACTATTTTCTAGTTAAGAGATTTATGTTTTAGCCCCTGATGTTGAAGCACTGTTATGATAAAAGATACAATAAAATGCATTTATCAAAAGCACTAATGATTAGATGAGAACTCTCAGGCACTTTTTAAATTTCAGCAAGCACACAGTGGCTAGAAGGTAGTAGTAAGTCACAACTAGAGTAGGCCCATTGAATCAGTGGGGCTTTGGCAAGTTAGCTCCTCCATTGGTCCAATAGGCAAACTCTAGTTGTGACTTACTATTGGATTTCTACCATTATATTGATGTTTTTTTCCTGTCAGGTTGAGTTTGGCAGGTAAGATACCCCAATACCTGCAAAGATGTATTGCTACAGTATTGCTACTGCTCTGATCCATATCTCTGTGGGTGCTGAGGTACACATGTAAGTTCCACATGTGCAGCTGATTGTAATATTGAAGGGGAAATACTTGTATACATGAAATGCATGTGGATGCCTAAGGACTCTTTTGCAGGGAAAGCTAATGGGGGCTTGTTCTTCTGCCATAACATTTCTTAACTCTTGACAGAAGGCTGCCTCACATGTAAAGATATATATATACTGCCATTAAAAATGGGATTGTTGGAGTCAGATGTATAATTTCAATTTATTCTCACCAGCAACTTCTCACTGTTGTTTCAATTGCTGAAACTTTCCCAGCAAAGTGAAGTACCATTAAAGGTATGGAGGAAATCCTGTACTCGACAGCCGACAGCCATTCTGCCATAAACTTGCATATATTCAGAACCAATTTTAAGGTTGTTTCCTTGAGAAATCCTGTCTAATGTACCTTTCTTGTGCAATATAGAAAATAATGTCATTGATTGCACCTTTTCAATTGTCAAATAACTTGAAATGTAATAATAAGCATTTTCTTAATTAAACAATTTTCTGAATTTTCTGCAATAGAAGGCATTCCCTTTTCTATTGTCCTAACAGTTATTATATGGAAACAAGCTTGTTTTGTTGTGTTTAGTATTATCCTGTTAAAAGTACAAGAATGTATTGCCAAAGTCATGTGCATAATAAACCAAATGGAGCTAAACAGTGCCTTGAGTTGAATCCAGAATGTCCCAAAGTGTAATACAGGCTTCTCTGGAGGCACAAAATTACTAAGAAAGGGGAAGTGCCTGGTTACCAATTAACAGCCCACACAACACCAATTGTGCTGCAAGGTACCATACTATGCTTTGTTGCACTTTTTGTGTGTATGCTGAAATGTTCCGTGGCTTTGTTCCTTCCATTTTGCATGATCTTACTTCAAAGTGAGAACAAAGTGAGGTACTTCACAGCAAGATTCATTGGTTTTGGCTACATTTGGAAAAACCTGCAGTATCTCATAAGTTAGGAAGGCTCTTTTACACAGGCTTTGCACATGTAGACTTGACTCTAAATGGTAGTCCCTAGAACAGTAGACTCATTGAAATGATGGGATTTCCTTCAGTGTTGAGTCACCATTCAACAAATGGATTTTTAAATCTTTGTTTTGGGGCTGTACTCATATACAGTGGTGCCTCGCAAGAAGAATTTAATTCGTTCCGCGGTTAATGCGTTTTCCCATAGGAATGCATTGAAATCTAATTAATGGGCAAAAAAAGTTAGAATAAAGTCAAATTTTGTTTACAAAGGGTTTATTAAGTGCTCTTTAAAGCCATACATATTGTGCAGATGATTTTAAAAATTCAGTCAAAAACTTTTAACTTTTTAAACATCATAGAAAAACATTTAAAATCAGCAAACATGAGGCAGGAACAAAAAACGGAAAATACTCTTCTTGTGAAGCACAGCCATAGGAACATTTGTCTTGCGAGTCATCAACCCCATTGCCAAAACCATTTGTCTTGCTAGTTTTTTGTCCTGTGAAGCATTTGTCTTGCAAGACACCACTGTTTTTAATATTTACCACCATAGAGAAAGGGGCAGTAAAAATCAAGCATAACGCTGGTATCACATCTGGATGTTTACTACAAAAAGCAGACCTATGTTGGCTGTTTGCCACTGCTGTAGTGTCTTCTATATGTACATATTACAAAAGGGAATCACAATACCCTAGGACATAGACTCCAAGTGGCACATGTGGACAACCCTAAATTCAGTTGACCTCTAACAGACAAAACCTGTTTAATATTAATATCAGCAGGCCAGGAATTAGGCTCAAAATTACCAGTTCAGTGTGGTGTCACCTGCAATATTTTGAGAACTTGACTTCCTGAATCTTTGCAAAGCCGTTCAGATTTTTAAAAAACCAACCCTCCCTTGAAAGGTGTCTTAAAAACACTAGACCCTATTCTATAAGTTTAGTCAAGTTCACGGAAGTGAACAATGCTCATAAGAAAATGACTACTTCCCAGAATATCATGCAAACCTCTGAGAATCACAGCTTGAAGATCTGAAACTCTGAATCTGCTTGCAGTATCAGAGTAATATGTTTGTGTGTTTCTATACCAAAATCACAATTGTATCATCCTCTGCCGATGCATTGTGTTAGGAACACGTTCAGTTCATTCAGACAATTTAAATTTGTTAGAAATCATTTTCAATATTTATGTATTGTACTTAATCTTGATAAAAGACAACATATTTTCATAATGCAAGAAATTATTTTCAAAACTCTAGCATCGGAAGGAAAATACTGTGATTTTTTATTTTCAGCAGCTAGTATTATTGAAGACAGCAATAACACCCTTAAATTAAGCATGAAGGGATCATTTAATTTTTTTGTAACTGAATCCTATCACAAATTATTTGAATGTGTTATCACAAGCAGGCTTGTCTGCAGTGTGCCAGACCATTGCCCACTCTGAGTTCATTTAGGTGAGACCCTAGTATATTTATGCCAAGATCCATATATTCATTTCATTGAAATAAAAATGTGTCTACTTATCAGATTCTGGCAATTACCTGCATCATAAAAAGAAATCTGATAGACAACCATTATGGTAAGCAATAGATTTTCTTCATTCTCTATGTACTCTCACCCTTTGAAAAAAAAATTGAGGAAATTGCACGTTAATTCTTTTAAGGAAACTGTCCAGTTGTGTTTAACCACTATTTAACTGTTGATCAAGGTAAGTTATTTTTAATGATCTGTGTTTCTTCTGCATAGTTTACAACATAGGAGATATGACCTGGCAAAATGTAAATTAAGAAATGAATATCCTATTGTATGTGCCCTCAAATTGCCTCCAATTCCACAGTGAGCCTATGAATGAGAGATCTCCAAAATGTCCTGTTGAAGAGATCTCTGAAAGACCTGCTCAGCTCTTGTAAACCCAAGCCTGTGGTTTCCTTCAGGGAGTAAAACCATCTTGTATTTTGTCTTCCTATTTCCCTGCTGCCTTCAACCTTTCCAAACATTATTGCCTTTTCCTGAGAATTTTGCCTTCTCATGATGTGCCCAAAGTATGCCAGAAACAGTTTCGTCTGGGAGTTGAATCATGGCAACTGGACTTCTTTTTTATTAGGTTGAAAAGTTTCACTACTCGTCCAAGTAGCTTCTTCAGTCTGAGGAGAGTTGGTAGGAGACCCCTGATATATCCTGCATTTTGGTTTCACTTCCCCCTGGTCTGAATACGCTGGTTAGATGGACAAAGGACAGGGGGGAGGGAGTGAAAATCCCACTTCTGCAGTCCTTCTCCACACATTCGTAACAGTGGTCTTTCTGATGGGTATGGTCCTGATCTTTCTGGGGATGGATGAAAGGGCAGCAAGATAAATAGGAGACAGATTGTAATTAAGGCCACCAACCCTATTGAGCGAGGGATTTTCTGTATGGACATGTATGGCCTCCATGAGCCCTCTCTAAACCACCTGCCTTCTCAGTCCAAAATGAGTACATCTTGGTCATCAAATGAATGTCCTTTGCCCTTCAAATGAAGGAACACTGCTGACTGTGGTGCTGCGCCATTGCCCCTCCTGTGCTGAGCCATTCGCTTGTTTGGTGGCTGTTTGGTTTCTCCAATGTAGCGCTCCGAACACTCCTTTTTGCATTGGACTGCATATACTATATTGCTCCTGTTTTATTTTGGTGTCCGGTCTTTTGGGTGGATGAGTCTGTGCCTTTGTGTGTTTCCAGATTTGAAGTACACAGGTATGTGGTGTCTATAGACACACCCACCATGTAAAGAATAACCAGGTTCTTCTGTCGGGTCTGGGTTTTGGACTGTTCCATTGTCTTGCTGAATTGGGACATTGTCTTGTTAAAGGCCCACTTTGGATATCCACAGGCCTTATGGGTTGTCTTCAGATGTCTTCCTTCTTCTTGGCTTCTGTGGAGGGGGGGATGTTTCTTGCTCTGTGGTTTAGCATCCTGATGACCTCTAGTTTGTGTTGCAATGGGTGATGAGAGTCAAACCACAGGTATTGATCAGTGTGTGTAGGTTTTCTGTAGATTTCTACTCCTAAGCTGCCGTAGGATCCTATGATGACTGCACAGTCCAGGAAAGCCAGCTGATTGTCTTTGGTGTCTTCCCTGGTGAACTTGATATTTGGGTCCACTGCATTTATATGGTCTGTGGAGGCCTGTACCTCCTGATTCTTGATTTTCACTCAGGTGTCGTCCACATAACTGAACCAATGGGTTGAGTTGTCCCCTGGCAGGTGTTTAGTGCTCCCCCCCCCCATTTCTTCCATGTATAAGTTGGCAACCAAGGGTGACACTTGGGAACTCATGGCACAGCCATGTTTATGTCTGTAAAAGTCATCTCTGTAGGTGAAGTAAGTGATGTTCAGACACAGGCATATCTGGTACAGGTTGAGATTCATTCTAGTGGAGAGGGTGTTGTCTTCCTTCATGCTCATTTTCATAGTTGTTAGGGCATTGGGGGTGGGAATGCTGGTGAAGAGGGATGTGACATCAAAGGATACCATGGTTTTGTCAGTACTGTATTTAGTTTCAGTTCTCTGACCTTTGATGCAAACTCCTCTGAGTTGTGAATGTGGTGTTCTGAGAGTCCAAACAATGGCATTAAGATGGTGGCTGGGTATTAGTAATGTTCTATGTTACTGAATTCATGCTGCCGCTGCTGCTGGGTCTGAGGAGGACTCCTTCGTTGTGTCTCTTGGGAAGTCCATAAAGGTGGTGGTGGGCTCTCCAGGATACAACCGGTGGTAGGTCACCCGGTGTGGTTCTTTTCCAAGTGTTTCAAGTATTCTATTACTTTCCTCTTGTAAATGTTGGTGGGGTCCCTCTGCAGTTTCTCGTATGTGTGTTCCAAAAGTGAGTTTATTTTTCTATAGTAATTCATAGTGTTGAGGACGACAGTGAATCTTCATTTGTCCACAGACAGTATGGTGATGGTCTCATCCCTGCTGAGGGATATCAGAGCACTTCTTTCCTGTCTGGTGAGATTAGATGAAGGAGCTATCAAGAGTCTCTACCAACTGTCCTCTGACTGAAGAAGCTACTTGGATGAGTAGCGAAACATTTCAACTAATATGAAAGAAGTCCAGTTGCCATGACTCATCTTCCAGATAACCTTCCCTGGATGACTGTGAATCTTCACAGAAATCAGTTTCACCATTTTTGCCTCTAGAAATAGTTCTTGTTCTTGTTCTCCAGTGACACATCCTTAAACTTGGTGATCTTTTCTAGTTCTTTCATTGTTGCCCTTCCAAGTCTCAGTATTTTGCTGATTTCTTGGTCACAGTCTCCATTTAGATTGATGATTGAACTAAGATAGATAAACCCCCTTTTTCAATTTCTTAATTGTCAACATTAAAGCATGCACTTTTTCTGTAGTCATGATTTTTGTCTTGATATTCAACTGCAGTCTAGCTGGGACACTTTCTTTTTTCACTTTCACTTATCATTGCTGTTGTCTGC